CCATAATAATCATATACAGTGTATATTGACAAAATAAATAAATAAATAAATAAATAAAAAAAAGATGCGTGCCAGAATGCCAACCATGATAACTTCTGGGTAGTGGATTTACAGACAATTGTTATTTTCTTTAGGTTTATGTAAGTTTATTTAACATTTTCCCAATAGGCATTGAGAACTTACCTGATCAGAAAAATACAAAACTTTTTTTTTTTTTTTTTTTTTTTTGGCAGCTGGGTGGTACAGGGATGGAACCCTGGACCTTGGTGTTATCAGAACCATGCTCTAACCACCTGAGCTAAACAGCCAGCCCCCAAAACTTCTTTTTAAAAAGCATGAACATGAAGAGAAAGAAGAGAGAATTGCTTTACTAACCTTACGTGACGGGACCAAAGTGCAGCATTAGAAGACTCACTTGATTCAAGCAGAATCTGGATTAATCATTTGGCAAAATTAGGAATTCCCCCCACAAATACTGAGCAATTATCTCCAACCCTGACTTACCTATGGGTTATAGAGCTCAGCAGATAAAATCCTGTATGTTTCTCACCTTTTCCCTCTTGCAACTATGCTGTGTGATTCAGGTTCAGAAGCTATCAACATCTGATCTGTAAATAATTTGATATTCACCAGACACAGTTGTAATTTTCCAGCCTGTGGCTTCCACATGCCATGTGGATTCCACTAAAAACTCACATTTACTTGGGGTTGGACCAGGGGACTTTTGCCAAAGAGCTAACAAAAGCTCTAAGGTCTTTGGGCAGAGCGTTGGCAAAGCAAAGCTGCTGGTGAGTAACTCAGAGAAGCGTGCACAACCTCTGCCATCCCTATTCTCTCCGCCTCCAAAACTCTCCTTCTACAAAGCCACATGCAACTTTCCATTTGGAACATTTTAATTAGAAAGTTACAAAACATCATGGGTTATTCATGCAAATTTTGCGTTAGAATAATTTAATAAAATGCAAAGCAATGGTTATACATATCCTTAGCCATCTTTCCATATCTCACTACCTTTTTGGGATTTCAACCAGAAACCATTTTTCATTTAAATCTCAAAAAAAAAAAAAAAAAAAAAAAAAAAATTAGGCACATAAATAGCCCTAAATATTAAAAGAAAAGGCAGAGGGGCCAGTGTTGGGGAATTTTTCTGCTTGACTACTTCAAAATAGCTTTGTTTCCAAAATTCTTATTTTGGTCAGCCTGAAAGAAAAGATGCTTTGGAAATAAAAACTGAATCTCCATGATAAAATGAGGCAACACTAAGGGGTGTGTTTATGAGTGGGCATGAAACATGGCTCCCAAGGGCTGTCCTTCCAGTGCCAATGACATGCTTGGATCATAAAGCAGATCCATCTTGGCTTTAAGGGGACGGCATGTTTGTTTCCTCAAGAGGGGAATGAAGCTGAATAATCAGCCTTCCCCATGCACCAAAGGTCCATTCTAGCCATCTCTTCTCCTGTAGACACTTGCTTAGCTATGAGGGTAACCTGGCTGGAGTGCTGGTCATTCTAATGGCCAGGCTGGATTGCACTGCCTGGCCTAGCATCCTCTTTAATCCCTCACTCCTTGTATCCTTCCCGAAGCTGCCCCTTCTGATGGGCACCCTGTTCCTCAGTCAAGACAAATACAAGTAGCTGGGCTTCCTGCTAGTTCTCCAAATAAACTCTGTGGTTGTCAGGCAGTGGGAGCCAATACCAACAACAACTCCTCTGTCACCCACGTCCTTTCCAGGAAGGGGGAGGGCAGTCAAGGAGGAGGAGTAGCAAATGTCCAGGCTGTTGGGTGAGGGCCAGAGAGAAAGACCCTGTTGTTACAATCCTTACTGCCCCCTCTGTTGCTGAGGGAACATGAATGAAACAGCACTTCTGACTTTAGCCTGCCATCCCAGGGGCACAGACAGAGGGCAAAAGGCAGGGCAAAGAGCCAGCCACAGAAAGGATAAAGGGCTGTTCAGCTGAGCTGATGACAGATGACTGTCTGTTAGACTGAGGGCAGGTGGATGGTCTGAGTTTCTTCCAGTCGCCCATCCTCCCACACATGGCTTATGCGGCTCCTGGGCTTGAGCCCCACCCCCACCAGTTCTCCAGTTAAAGACCTCAGTTCTGGAAATCAAAGTTCTGAAAAGAAAAAGTAAATGCTCAGAAGTGGAAAGGGTGCTAGCGACTTGCATATTTGTCACAAGAGAGCCCTGAAAAGAGTAAAAAGTGGTTTACAATAGGGGGAAGAAATGCACAGTGTGTTTCTCATTTCAAGGGAAGAAAAGTCTTTACTTGACCAGAGATGGTAGTCTTTCCAAGATGTCTGAACTGACTGTAATTTTCTCCTGAAATTCAAGGCTAAAGCAAAACAAACAAACAAAAAAACCCCCAAACCCCCAAAATGAATTATAGTCTCCAGAAATGCTCAGACCTTTCCACACACTAGTCCCTGATGATTTTGTAGGTGCTTAGAAGATACAGAATTTGGGCTGGACAGTTAGCTCACCTAGTTAGAGTGTAGCCTTATAACATCAAGGTTACAGGTTCAGATCACCACACTGGCCAGCCACAAAAAAAAAAAAAAAAAAAAAAAAAAA